TCCAGCGACTTATCCGTTGTCAAAGGCCACCAAGGAGGTTCCAACTAATAATGACCCTGTGCACCCCAGCGCCAAGCAGTGCCTTCTCACAGGCCTTGCCACGTGTGAGCTCGTTGGCACAGCCGGTGTCCCTTCCTCTCTTTTCCTTCGACCCTCTCCTTTACCACGCAGGACGCCCTTCTTCAGGAAGGGCCCTTCCTGAGAACATGCACCAGACGAAGACTCATCATCCTCGGTTTGAAGTTAGACCATTTTAGTTGTACTTCTTGCAAGACAGATTTGTCCATTGTCCTGGCAGTCTGCAGTTCAGCACATATTCTTCGGCAGCACCGTAATTCAAGGGATCAGCTCTTCCTTATGCATTGCTCAGCTCTCACCTGCTTGGAGGGTGATTGCAAATACCATGGCTCGAATCAAGCACTTAGTCTTCAAAGTGACATCTTTGCTTTCGAACTCCTCAAAGAGGGCTTCTGCAGCAATACACTATGCTTCATTTCTTGACTGCTGCTGACTCGAGAGGGACTCACCTATTGGGCCTGAAATTCCCTCTGAGCCTCCAGGTTGACCAGGGGCAAAGCCGTCCTGTCTGTTTGGTCTCCCCAGGGCTGCCTCTGGGCCTGCTGATATTAACGGAGCCTGATGAGTTGTTTGTGTCCTAGCCTGCCTGGCCTGCCCAGTTGCACCCAGCCTCCGCACAGATGTGCTCTCAGACGTGCACTTCATCCAGCTTGGCTGAGTTCAGTTCCAAAGCAAGCTGGGCTGGTTTTCTGCTCAGTAAGGCTGGCCAGTGGGGTCAGCCAGTGGAGAAGTCCTATTGCCTTTCTGTTAAGGAGAGGCGATGCATCTGTCAAAGAGGTCAAACCGTTCAAAACTGTTGCACAGTACTTAGGATTTAACGTCCTGGGACAGATTTTGTGTTCTGGCAAAAGAAAGAAATGGACAGTGATTTTAAGTCCTGACTTGACTCCCAACGGTCCCTTGTGCCTCCCTGAGCCTGCATTTATTATTATCATTATTATTTTAAAAAAATACTTTTCCTCTGAAGTTATGAAGCTTGGGAGCTGTGGTGATCAGGTTCTTTGGCTATCTCCCCAGACTTCTCAGAGCAGGAGTTCCCTCATGGGGATGGAAGCTCAGGTTGAAGTTAAGTTCTGAGGTGGGTGGAGGACACACCTGAGAGGACAGTTGTTGAGTGATGGCTGAAACCCAACCCATCTGATGACAGGGTTGACTTCGTTGGGACTGTGGTCAGTGGGAGCAAGCCAGCTCGTTTTCAGAGATGAGCATCAGCAGGAGATCCTGACCATCCTGGCTTCCCTGAACCCAGAACATTTGATTTCTTCTTTACAACCCCATAGCCCATTTGCATGTTTACCAATGCCATTTATTCGAAGCAACCTTTTTGGCAAAGAAACAAACGGCCTGTGGGGTTGGACTCACTTGGAGAATCTTGTCTGACTCCATGGGCAAAAGTGTTTTCAACGCTTTGAAGTAATCAGATCCGAGAGAGATCTGCTATGAAGTAGTTTGTGAACAAGGCAATATGAAAACATGGAAACTGAACATATCCATAGAGCTGAATGAGCTAAGAGGAGGATTACAGTCAGCATGATCCAGGTTTTCAATCTACCTACTGTGTGCCACAGGTAGTGCTTGACTCTGGAGGACCCACACAGCTGTGTAAGGCTGGCTATCTCGCCTGGAGTTGAGTTAGGGAAATACGCAACATGCCTAATCATAGTAGCATTCTGATCAGGGAGATGAATTAAGACATTTGAGCTGGGACCGAAGAGGGAGTACAATCCGGGTGCTTCGAGGTGTGGGAGAATGATCTAGAAGGCAAGAGTCTGATCAATGAGATGGAGATTCGTGGTGCTCCTGGGGAGAGTAGCTCTTGTGACTGCTGGGGAAGGCAAAGGCTGATTTGGAAATGATACGTTGTTCTCAGGTTGTGGAGGGTTTTGCTATTCATCTTAAGGAGTTTGGACTTCATTTTGCTCGTAACTGGGGCCCATGAAAGTCCCTTCAAACATTGATGACATTTAAAAGTCTTAAATAATCACACAGGTATATAAGGTTAAGACAGGACAGTATTGCTACAAAATCATAGAAGCTTTTATTAAATAAAAATATCAAAATATGAAGCTATGGTTTCTTGCCATACCCTACACTGCTGTGGTTGGCAATTTCATTTCTTTGACCCTTCTCCAAAGTGCACCTTGCTATACCGGTTCAAAATTGTGGTTTGGGCATTCTTGAGAGAGAGACTCAAATAGTTTTCAGTCTTCTTTGAGTTTGGGGAACAAAAAGAAATCTGAAACTGAGCTTGCCAAACCAGGATTTCGATGTAGATTTTGCCTTTTTCAAATGACCCTACAGGAACAAGTTGTAGTTCAAGGTTGGATGTAAGAGCTTGCCGTTGTTCCATGTTTGGTTGCTGCTGTTTATATTCCTTTGCCAAGCCTCAACGTCACCAACTGCTGACAGGTATCTGGGAACACTCTGCTTCCTGGTCAAGACAGAATCAGAGGCCTTGGACACTTCCAACTAATGTACCTGCTTTCTTCTGGCCTTTTCCATGACTATATCTACTGCCTCAACTTGATTCATAAACAAAACCTAGGAAAACCTACAAAAAAAATAAGCGATTTGTGGTGGCTTATCTAGGAATAATACAGGACACATTATTGGTATTTTTGGTAAAGAAAATGAATTTTGTACCATTTACTTCAATCTAAATAAAATGTAAATTTTGTTTATTTAAAACAAAAAGGAAAAGTCTGAAAAAGCAAGGTCAGGATGGTAGTGTGGTTAGGATAAAGTTTCCCAAGAAGATTCTTGTAAAACAGTCCTTCCAAGAAGGAGCAAGCGCATTGTCATAACGGAAAAAAGAGTTTGTTGGCATAACTTTCCTGGCCTTTTTCTCACCAATGTAGTTTTCCAATTTTCAAGAACGTCTTCCTAAAAAAGCCCTTGTGATTATCAAGTGGCCTTTGAGAAAATCCATCATGGTGATTTCTTTGGTGATCCCCCAAGAGTTGTCATGGCCTGCTGAGCGGACCGCTCTGCCCTGAATTGCACGCCCAGCAGATCGCCTGGGAAGGCCCTGCTTTGACTGGAGGTGGTGGTAGTTTTAATGGCACTCGAACAAGACTAAGAGAACATTATTCCCGAGAAGACCTGTCTGTAGCCATCCACTGAGCTCACAGAGAGGCTTCAACACTGGACAACAGAACAAACCAGC